TTTGTGACACGCACACACACACACACACACGAAAAGACACACACACTCTCTCTCTCTCACACACACACTTTCTCTCTCCCTCTCTCTCACACACACACAGAACGCAGCCACCGAATCCACCGAACACAGCCACCTGTAAAAAAAAAAAAAAAAAAAAAAAAATGAGAAGGCAAGAAGCTTTTCAACGTGTTTACATCAGTAGTTTCCAAAAATTAACATCAGACAACATTAAGCCTATAGACCCTTTTTTCGCCAACGTCATAGTTGCGTCACGGCGCTAGCTGGAGGCAAAACAAAGTGAAAACTGGAGGCGGCCAATAGAAAACAGCACAGATTCGGCTACATAATAAGGAGCTTAAATTATTGTTACTATTATTAAATGTCGATTTTTAAGCATCTGTGTAAATCATATCTGATGTCCTTAGCCTACAATGAGTAGATGTGATATTTTAACTGGTTGAAGTATGTTTTTATTTTTATCCTTCATGGGAATCTGTATGTAAAGCACTTTGGTTCAACTTGGGTTGTGTATTAATAGTGCTATATAAATAAACAAACAACAACAACTATTATTAAATGTCATCTTGTTGTGTTGTTTGGTGCAAGTATCAATGAGAAATGAATGCTGTATCTGGAACTTTTATTTCTAGAAAATATTCACATGATTAAAATCGCACTGTAATGACACTCTTTACATTGTCGTGGTCTCGGCGCTGGCTCGGCAGAACTGCGGATCATACACACAAGTCTTGTACAGGACCATATAGGCATCTAAAGATTTAAATGCCCTCAGTTTCTCTTTACGATCGGTTTCTCTATAAGGTGTCAACATGACATCATGACTTTTGCGTAAACATACACGCCACTTTCGAGTCAAGTGGCATGTTATCTCTACGCATTTTGAGCTATCCGCGTGTATCCACGTGTATGCGTGTATGTCTACGCCATTAACGTCCGAGTGATTCTGCATGTCTGTACACGGCTACACGCCGTCAAATATCTGCGTGAAACGAAGCAAAATGTAGATCTACATCTGGGGAGCGATCTTTTTTTTTTTTTCCTAGGATGGTAAGGGAACAGTCATAAATGCCATTAACCCCAGTGACGGTTAGGTTTAGGGACGGGGTTGAGGTAAGTCATTATATTTATTTATATATACAGTAATAACGTTAAGTCAACGGCGTTCATAAACACGCTGAAAAGCGATTATGCGTCTTGATAGCACGCCCAAAAATGGAAATACGAATTGGTGTGTCATACACACGCTACTTCATGAGATCAGTCTGAAGGTGTAGAAGTCAGGCCACTCAACCAAGATAACGTACGTAAATCCTGTCAGATCATCCATGCATTGAGTGAGTGTGTAGGCGGCAACGGGTCGGCCAATCTGGTTCCGTCTGTTAAAGAAAACTTTTGGAAATATAAAATTTGGAAATCGCGGTCCTGGACACTGGGTGACCTTACACATTAAGATAATATCGGATTTTCTCCAGTCATTGTTAAAAAACAAGCTAACAATCCTTGCTAACTAGCATTAGTGAAGCGGCCAGAGGGATCGTTCTGCCTCCACCTAAGCTCCGCCCACAAAAAAACGTCACCATGTTTACCAACTGAAAAGGGGTCTATACCTTTTTTATCGTGTGTGGATGTGGGAGGGGAAAATGTCGAGACTAAAGCCCTATTCGCATTAACTTTACAAGGGTAGATGGAGTAAGTTAATAATGTAATTTTACCACAGGACTTCTGTAATATCAATAGCCAAATCGCATGTGATAAAACTAAGAATACGACCGGTTCAAGATGGTGGCCGGATTTCTCGGTTTTCCTCGGAAGATCCCAGGAAAAAAAATGATGAAATTACTTTGTCTTTTGTTGCTCCCTTCATCAAGTGCGTACTAATATTAATAAGCAGTAATTAGTAGCTCAAGTCTGCATTTCTCAACTTATAAGATATTTTAGTGTCAGCGGAAGTGTAAGAGGGGGGGGCTTTCTGTAAAGACTACAAGCACTAGTCCCCCTTTCAAACCCGCCCATAGGGGGTTGGACCTAATGCGCTAACAGACCAATCACAGATCAGTGCCAGTGCGTTTGATTTCGTTTTTGAAAATTTTTAATGAAAGTAATACACAGACTGATGCATTATAAATGGGTACTGAAACGGCGGTGCCAATAGGGAACAAAAATTTCAGTGCCTGAGTCTCTGTGTCATGAGGCGCACACACGCAAAGTCTCTCGCTCTCTCCCTCTCCCTCGTGTGCGCACTATATGGTTTGGAGCACAGTCTGTTCTGTCTCGCATGCATACTCTTGCTCACTCGCTCTAGATTACGGGAGATTTTAACTAATTTGCGGGCATCAGGGAGCCGTTAACAATATGCGGGAGACTCCCGGAACGTCTGATAGCGAGGGGATTAATGAAGACGCCGAAGCCAAAACGCTCCAAGGTTTGGCTGCATTTCACGTGTAAAATTGCGCATCAGAATAAGTGTGGCGAATGTCTGAAGCCCATATAGAATCGCCAATCCATTGGCTGATGGCGCGGGCCGCCTTGATGCTCTTATGTCATCAAATATTATATTAGCCCGCATTAGCCTATCTGATTTCATTGTGTGAAATGATTTCCAGGGGGTAGCGTAGAGTATAGCTCAACTCTAGTCTACATTGATGGGCGGAGTAGTGGGAGTGACCTGAGGAGCTGAGCATTGCAATGCACTATGGGGATTGTTGTCTACAATCCACAAGCACTAAAGTCATTTTCTGCCTTTTATCAGCCAAGAAGGACCCAAATTAGAAATTTATGATACTATTCTACTACATATATGACCCACTTTCAATACATATTCATGTCTTTAGCTACTCGCATATTATCTCGCACAGAGATGTTAAAATTCTTGCTCAGCAGCGTCTGTAAACATAAAGCTCACCTACTTTGATTTGATGTGTCCTCTCAAATATTCTGAAATTGACAAGCAGTGACAGACCAATGAGGCTTAGATGAACACACACACAAACACACACTCTGTTTCTGACGTGCTCTCTGCTCGGCACCGCTGCGGATTGAAAATGAAGAACACGCTGAATCTGATTATAACAAGACTGAAGGGAGGGTGGATTTTAAATCTAGATGAAAATTAAACAAAAGAAAATTCAGTCATTAATTACTCGCCCTCATGTCGTTCAAAACTTGTAAGACTTTCGTTTATCTTCTGAACTCAAGATCTTATTGATGAAATCTGAGAGCTTTCTGTCCTCCCATTGACAGTGTACATCAGTATATCAAACCGAGACTTTGACGCTGTTTGAGCTTTCTACTGAAAGAAACTTGCTCTGACATATCTTAAAATATGTCAGTGCCATTTGTTTTGTCTCAAGATGCACACCAGTAATGTTTTTCTTCCACATTTTATAAAAGCTATAAATGTCCTAATTAAACTAAGGCCTAATCCTGGCTTAATCTAAACCATGTCTGTGAAACCTGGGCCTATATTATTTAATTTAGGCTTTTATTCACATTTTACCATTGATCAGCGGAGCAGAGTATCCTAATTAATGACAGAATTTAAATTTTTGTGTGAACTCTCCCTTTAAGTAAATTACATCACTCAGCAGTTGTAAACCAAAGTTACTTCTGCCCTCTATTGGATAGTCAGAAGATACAGCTGTAAGAAAACTGCAGAAAAACACATTAATTTAGCAGAAACTTTTATTTAAATGATCTACAAATGAGAAATATATATATATTTTTAGGCATTCTCATAGTCTTTGCTGGTAAACTCGTTTTAACTGAAGCATATAGTCTCTTAGTGTACTCTCAGTTCTTGTCAATATGCTGGTCACCTAAAGGACCATGAGTTTAGTCTTCTATAATTTTGTTGTAAAAAAAGAGAGAGATTTTGATATTTGCTGTATTCATAATGATGAATTCTGTGGCAGATTTTAAAGTTACTGGGGAAACACACAACTTTAGCTTTGCTCCTCATAGTGGTCATGATCACTGCCGATCAGACTGCACAATCACTTTTACCACAAACATGTCTTCTCTTGTTATGAATTGTATCCTATTTTCCGTTATTACACTTAACTACGCGCAGTAATATGGAACTGTAATGCGGACAAACTTTCAGCGTTTCCCTGAAAATAATTGCACACCTTTTGAATGTTCTTAACCAATCAGAATCAAGCATTCAACAGCCCTGTAGTATAATTCACTTTATTTTCTAAAAAGTAGTTTTTCAGAAACAATAATGTGGCAAAAGTTATCATTAAGAAATTAATTACATAATACCAAATAATGTTGTATCAATATATAAAAGAAAAAAAAACACACCAAAATAATTACATTTTGAAGAAGTAAACCGGCCTATTGCACACATTGTGAGCTCAGGAAGTGGCCATTTTCATTGTTTCTGGTGGCACTGCATTGATTAACTTTGCAACACTTCAACACGTGTCATTTGTTCTTTATGTACACATAGGCTTGGTGTAACTGTTGTGGTATGATGTCGTCACACTAGAAACTATTTCTGCAAGACTTTTTGTTTTCTCTGTACTTCCAGATTGACATCTTGATATTCTCCTTAATATTCTGATATTATCTAGAGCTATAGTGAAGCATAGAGGATTCAAATGAGTCTCCTATGACAGTATTAAACCACAGCTAGTAGAAATCTTGCTGGATATAGTTAGAAATCAAAACATATATGATAATTATGGGAAATTGGGACAAATAGTGTATTTGTACTTTTGACAATATACATATAATTGTATATAAATGTACTATTTATTTATCATATTTATTTCCCAGATCTTGAAAAACCACATCCATTTTTTGCGACTTTGTATTTTGTATGCGTTTATTAGTTAATGTATCATCAATTAACCGGCAATTCACATTCTAATTCATACAATTTATCGTTATGATCTTCATGTAAAATACATGTTTATATTAAAAAATTAAAAAAATGTTTATATTAATTCAGAAGACATTTTTTTCTAAACATACAAATACAGCATAAGCAATTCATCCTAATGTGATGAATTCATCCTAACACAGTTCTAAAATTGCATCACTTAAATTATAATAGAAAATCTTAACAAATGCCTAAGGAAAAAAAATCATATAATAAAATTAGGCTTGAGTCTGTTGTATTGAAGCTCAACTTAAGTTAAGATCTGCTAAGTTATTTTAGGATTTTTCCTCAAATAAAACTGAAGCTGAAGACTGATCAAATCTAATCCTGAACGCACGAAACACAATCACAACACCTTAATATAGCATTGCATGTCAAAATGAATCTCACACCAAGTGGTGTCAGATTTTAACACAGAAACGCATGCAGGGAGCTATATTGAGATAATGCCGTCATCAGAAATAAGATTGAGGAAGAGAAACTTGCATCTTCAGCTCAGAAAACCACGGCTGCGTGTTAGTCTTTGAGCTTCTTTAAGGGAAATAACGAAACAAAACAAAATTAATTGCATAACAAAGCATTTCAGAGATACTCTAAGAGATGCTCACATGCTATTCATTTCCATTTATAGATTTTGATCTGACTGTGAGTAACTAGTAAACACTCTCCTTTATTTGCCTCTGAGGGTAATCACGATCACTGCCACAGTCATGATGACGAGACAAACAGCAATGGAGGAGGAAAAGCAGATGTAGAATAAAGACACTCCTTCCTCATGATCATCTATGTAAGTCTCACTGCGACGGTTCACCACAGAATTAATCTCGTGCACACAGGTGAAGGAAACAGGTGGACTCACTTTCACATCAAACATACACTTCTCATTTGAATAACACAGTGGGTCCTTCAGTGTGTAGTTGTGTTCTCCCTCCACTGACAGCTGGAAAGAGCTCTTAGTGAACCTCCTGCCAAACGAACACATCACTATCACATGCTCTCTGTCCTGCATCTGCCCATACACTGTGATGTTGGTCTCTGGAGCATCTGAAATAACACACACCAACATTTTAATTACGCGTTTAATGGCATCTTAATACTAAGTACAATGATAAATAAAGGCAAGTATCATCACTGCTACTGATGTCAATATTAAACAGATTTTTTTTTTCCAATTTTAGCCTTTCAACATTCTGTATTCTCATAGGCACTCGCCAAAACGACCATTTTGACATAATTTAAAGGGACACTTCACCCATTTGCATTAAGATTTTCATTGTTAGAAACCCAGTCATACTATTGAATGGTCGTGCAACACTCTCTCATTTTCCCCTGAGACGAAAGAAATCTGCCATTTCACTTCCTCCTACAATGACGCAGAAATCGTCATTTTACATCATTGTAGGAGAAAGTGTAAGGGGGGGGGGGATTTCTGTAAAAACTACAAGCACTTGATCCCACCCTTTCGAACCCGCCCATAGGGGGTTGGACCTAATGCGCTAACAGACCTATCACAGATCAGTGCCAGTGAGTTTGATTTCACCCGCAGAAACTTTTTGAAAATATGGACAGAGGCACTGAATACACAGACGGATTATGGATAGGGTTGGCGAAACGCGGTTGGGAACCGGTTCCGATGTAAACGGTAATTATTAAGTACCTGAGTCTCTGAGGCGCACACACTCAAAGTCTCTCGCTCTCTCCCTCATGCGGGCACTAGACGGTTTGGAGCACAGTCTGATCTGTTTCGCATGCGCGCTCTTGCTCACTCGCTCTAGATTACGGGAGATTTTGACTAATTTGCGGGCATCAGGGAGCCGTTAACAATATGCAGGAGACTCCCGGAACGTCTGATAGTGAGGGGATTAATGAAGATGCCGAAGACAAAACGCTTCAAGGTTTGGCTACATTTCACATGTAAAATTACGCGTCAGAATAAGTGTGCCGATTGTCTGAAGCCCATATCCACAAGTTTCCGAGGGGCGCTCCTGTAAAAAATAAAGTGGGTGAAACTTCCGGTGACGCGGCGGAAGTAGCATTCCAATGGTATTTTGTGTGTTAGTTAGCGAAGAGGCTAGCTGTTTTTCTGAGAATTATTTTACTATTTAAAGACGCAAATCTTTATGAGAGATGTCGTTACGGAGCTCAGGGACAACATGTGCTGTTCACGGTTGTATGTATAACCGGACTTAACTAATTCAGTGGCTTAAACGTGATTGTTTTGAACATAAGCCGAAAACGAAATCAGAGTGATCCTGCCAACGACTGTAGCTTCCATCACCTCCCAAAAGACGACGAATCTTCCTGTGTACATTTGTTTAAATTCTTAATATTCTCTAAACTCTATCAGTATGTGATTGGCTGTTCTCTACTGATGTTACAGCTAAACTCAGGATCAAAGCCTGAGGTGACAGAATACCAAATGTGCCAGTTAATGTATTCAAGTAGCACATTCATTTATAATTTTGAATAAACTCCAAAGCACAATGACTAAGTGTGTATTTTTTATTTTAATTGTTTGTCAGCTCGCACAACTGTCTGTCACCATGCCTTGATAAGTATTGATTATTAATAATGTTATTATAATACTCCCAATCAACTACTGCGGAGGTAAAGGTACTGTTATTTCACCCTTTTGAATTTCGTTGAGGTTGTGTTCCCACATCGTTAGCTAGTTTGGATCGCTATAACTTGAATGACTGTCAACTGTTGAATGAATGAGTGTGAAGCATGTCAAATCGCGCTTTGTTTACTTCCAACCGGAAGTCGCGCCCACTTTTGACGCAAGGCCTCATGGGGCGTAGGAAACTTGTGGATAGAATCATGTCAATCCACTGAGTGATGGCGCGGGCGCCGCCTTGACGCTCTTACATCGTCATATGTTATATAAGTTTAACAAGCAACGAGAATACTTTTTGTGCGAAAAAACAAACAAAAATAACGACTTTATTCGACTATTCCTTTTCTTCCTTCTAGGCCAGAGACGAGAGTTCAAGACATTTCCACGACGCATGCGTGAGAACTGAACTAGAAAAAGTCGAAGAAGAACGCAGTTCTTGCGCAGTTTTCGTGGAAATCTCTGTAGTCTCAGGCCTACAAGGAAGAAAGGTCGAATAAAGTCGTTATTTTTGTTTGTTTTTTCGCACAAAAAGTATTCTCGTCATTTGATAAACTTATACTTGAGCCACTGTAGTCACATGGAATATTTTAACATTTTATTTATTGACTTTCTGGGCCGTCAAGTTTCGATCCCTCAGGCAGCCTATGTAGCAGTGATCCACCTCTCAAATTTAATCAAAAATATCTTCATTTCTTTTCTGACGACGAACGAAGGTATTACGGGGTTGGTAATGGGGGTGAGTAATTAATGACTTAATTTTCTTTTTTGGGTGAATTAACCCTTTAAGGAAAAAATAGAGATGTTTCTGTAGTTAATAATTGTGTTGTCTTACGTATTGGGTGGCAGAAGCCCCACTCTCCCTTTTCGTAATCATTTTCTGTGGAACACCACAGCACACCATCACTCCTGCCATCCACAGTGCACTCGGCGTACACATCTCCATTAAACTTAAAAGGGAAATAGCATGGTTTTCCATCAGGATTACTAGCCATCTCTGCAGAACATAGAGAAATGAAACAGGGAAATGAATACATATTGGATATTAATTTTAACATTCAGTGCAGTCATTATTATAAAGGTTTTAATGGCTGTTTGGTTGTCATACCTTGATATCCACGAGAACACAAATTTTCGTTGGTCCCATAAATCAGCCAGCGACTCCAAACTCCTGTTTCATTGAACAGCATCATATTTGGCTCGACATAATCTCCATAGTTCAAGTGCAGTGGATGTCCCTTCAGTCCGAGCAAGGTATCATCTTTACACTCCCAGGTTTGTTGGGGGTTAGACTCATTGCAGGGCAGAAGGATAACTTTGGCCCCGTCTTCGATCTTCTCGGCCCCCAAACAGAGATTAAAAGCGAGGCTGATGATTCGTGATGAGGAAATCCATAGGAAACGCTGAGCTGTGAAAGATGCGTCGCATGGCGCAGTCAGCACTACACTAGCACTCACGGCATACACACATTTGTTGTGGTCCTTGTTGTAGATAAGGAAGGAGCTGGTTCTGTCTGAATATATGAAACATTATATCAGACACTGTAATAGGCAGAAAATACCATTATGAGTTCAAGTTGAGAAAAGCATCTATATTTAAATGTAACACGGGTGGTTTCCTGAGTAGACGTCTCAATACAAATGTTTTAGCATTTATTTGTTCATTAAATTACACAAATACACAAAGTTATGATATATAAGCATAAGAAGTTTGTGGATTCTTCCGGGCAATCTGGATTCTCCTGTGCATTTGTGGATGTGTGTGCATCTATGGGAGGCATGATCATGTTTTCACTCTATAGTAGCCTATATCCTCATCAACTGTAGCTAAATAGACATCATTATTAGACAGTGTTTACATTATATTTTGAGTTGATAAAGTTGCATGTATGTACTGATAGATAAGTTACAGTAATGGTTTAGTCCAAGTTTAATCTAATTTTACCTTAAAAATAACTGACATTGCCGTAGAGCGTTGTAGTATTATGCTATTCATATTTTGAAGTGCTTTGTTTTCATTTTAATCATAGTAACTTTTTAGAAAATAAAATAAAATTTTGTTTTATTCAGTATTAGTTTTAGTAGGCCTACTTCAACATCAATTTATTCCAGTTAGTTGCGAAGACAACATTTCTAATTCTCCTTTACACTTATTCATCTACATTTAATTTTAGCTTTAATTCAGTTAAAAATGTTTTTTTTTTTGTTTGTTTTTTAAAGTTGAAGTTCATCTTCATTTTAAATATCACCAAAAAAAGAATGTTGGCAGTAAAATGTGTAGATTAAAGTCATTAGATGATGCACCTGTCATTGAAATGTACTCCGTTTTTAGAAGGATACGTTTTAGATGGCATTGTATTGACTTTTTGTAAATTCTTCGACGACTTTTCAAATATTTTTCAAATGAATACGGATAGTAATGCATATAATGTATAAAAAATCTTCAACTTGGCAACAATTCTATGGTCTCCTGTCTTTACAGATAAAATCGGAGGCAAAGAAATGTGATCTACTTACTGAAAGCTGACCAAAGGACCAATAAAAGGACATAAAGCATGTTCATTCTTGATGCAGTGTGGTCCAGGCAGACGAGCAAATGATGGCAGAGATCCAACAAAAGTAAGGAATAAAAAATTTGAAATAGTAAAATTATAATGACAAATTAAATGAAATGAATCAAGTAAATATTAAAATTGAAATAGCAAAAGGGAAATCTAAGTAATAATAACCAGTATTGTACCAGATGAAGTTTTTTGAAGATCAGACTTTAGAGAAATAAGGGCTCAAAAGGAGTGAGATATCTGAGAGAAAAAGGCACAGTGTCTTCTGAATCTAAACATTTTATATGCTGTTCTTGCGTAACAGGAAGGAACTGGGAAATATACTGAAATTCTTTGTGCTGCTCTTGCAACTACTGCACGATATTGGAAATTACATTGTGATATTTTGTTTTTCTGCAATATTTATTGCAACTTCACCAGATGAATTGCTCTATTTGTAAAGAATGAATCATTGTAGTATGACTGGGGTGATTTTGAACCTGAAAGGACAAACAAATTACCACCATAGATGAATACAATAGAACAAATAAATGAAATAAACATAGCTTTATGCAAGACTTACAGTATTCAGGTACAAAAATTGAATAATGAAATGTAAAATAGCACTGTATTCTTCACTGTATAAATGAAATATAATTTCATTTAGGGATTTCCTGTATTTTGTTGTTTGATTAACATTAATGACACAGACAGCACCAAGATTAGGCTGCTGTCACTTTAACACCGAATGCAAAGGTCCAATACAATGATAAACATCCGTTTTCTTTCTCATAAGCGACTGTGTTGAAGAGGATACTCGCCCGAAACGGGCATTTTTATATAATTTTGCATGTATGAGTCCTTTCAAGCACGAATGGACACGGAAGAGAACGGAATTCGTTGTTTGCGTGCTGTCTGTGCACAGAAAACAGCGGACAGGACTTGCGCTAGAATGGTTTAAAATCATTCAAATGTTTAAACTGACAGAACCTAAAGCACATATAAATGATGAACTTTTGCTCTATGATGGTTAAACTTTGCAATCAATCCGAGAATCACGTGTTTCAAGTGAAATGTGATGCCTGGTGGTCAGTATGGATCAACTGATGATCCCTATAGGCTGTATGTAGCCCCGCCCCTTTTCACCCTATAGGCCGTATGTAGCCCCGCCCCTTTCTCGTTGCGTTCTGTCTTCCGGTTTGTATTTCCATAGCATGAGGGTAAGATCTTACGGATTTATGAATGAACCGCTCATTTTAAAATCATCCGGTATTGATATGACATCCGCTTCAAACATTACAATTCTCATGGTAACTTACAATAAGGAAATCCACTTCACCAGCTAATTACTCTTCGACAGAGATGCCTTAGTAATATACTATGGAAGCTTGTTTCCGCCATTGAATAAAAAATATAATAAAGAATTGTGACTTTTTATCTTACAATTCTGACTTTATTTCTCAGAATTGCGTGATATAAAGTCGCAATTGCGAGTTATAAAGTCAGAATTGTGTGTTATAAAGTCAGAATTGCGAGATATAAAGTCAGAATTGCGAGATATAAAGTCAGAATTGTGTGATATAAAGTCGCAATTCTGAGAAAAAAAGACAGAAGTGTGATTTTTTTTTTCTCACAATTGCGAGTTTACATCTCGCAATTCTGACTTTATAACACATAATTGCGAGTTTATATGTCAAAATTCTGACATCTTTTCTCAGAATTGTGAGATATAAACTCGCAATTGCAACTTATTAGGCCGATTCTTTTTCCCCCATCAGAATAGTTTAAATCTCACAATTCTGACTTTATATCATGCAATTCTGACTTTATAACTCGCAATTGCGACTTTATATCACGCAATTCTGACTTTATAACTCGCTTTGCGACTTTATATCACGCAATTCTGACTTTATGTCTCGCAATTCTGACTTTATAACTCGCAATTGCGACTTTATATCACGCAATTCTGACTTTTTATCTCGCAATTCTGACTTTATAACTCGCAATTGCGACTTTATATCACGCAATTCTGACTTTTTATCTCGCAATTCTGACTTTTTATCTCGCAATTGCGACTTTATATCACGCAATTCTGACTTTATATCTCGCAATTCTGACTTTATATCACGCAATTCTGACTTTATATCTCGCAATTCTGACTTTATAACTCGCAATTGCGACTTTATATCACGCAATTCGGACTTTATAACTCGCAATTGCGACTTTATATCACGCAATTCGGACTTTTTATCTCGCAATTGTGAGAAAAAAAGTCAGAATTGTGAGATAAAAAGTCGCAATTATTTATTTTATTTTTTTATTCAGTGGCGGAAACAAGCTTCCATAATATACAGAGCTACCGTAAAAGAACAAAACAAAACGTCAGTTCAAAGACAAAATTCTAAAGATGGCTGCGAGCTTGTTTCTTTGGCATATTTAAAGTCTGTACTTGACATCGCACATCCTGTGATGTGTCTATCGCGGATGCGCACATTGCAATATGGATGCTAAAACAATATATAATGCACGTGCAGCCCTTAAGACATTTAATGCGCATTCATGACTCTCCTGTTCGAACTCGTTCATCAAATCAAACAAGCATCAAAATGAACGAATCTTTTTTCAAGTCATTTGGTTCATTCGACTGCTCCTATTGCTCTTCTCATTTGTAAGTCACTTTGTAAAAAGACGTCTGCTAAATGATTAAATGTAAAATGTAAATGTACAGTAGAAGTTTGTTTCTCCTCTTCAGGTCTGTTCTTCTCTCGTCAGATCCATGTAGTCGTTGTCTGTAACAGTTGTGGGGTTGATGATGGAGTCTGTGTTAACAAACGTGTAGAAAGAGTTCACTGGGTTAGTCTGTGTGTGCTGGGAAACCACTGGAGCTGAAGACTGATCAAATCTAATCCTGAACACACACTCAGGACACTAAACCTCATCAGATCATCACATGTGGACAAATGTGATTATAACACGTACTTATGCCAGAGTTGTGTTCAAAAGCATTGCATATCAGAATGCACCTCACATCAACAAGAAACACTTCCTGGAAAATATATTGCGCTCTGACTATAGGCCTGATGTGTGATGCCATTAGTCTACACTACAGCAATAAGATTGAGGAAGAGAAACTCTGTTCATTGACTCAGAAAACTAAAGCCTGCATGAGCTTGAGCTTCTTAAGAAAACAATGAAATGAAATGCACAAAGCATGCTCTCACATTTTGTAAATATTTTCAGTTCTAGACTGTGGTCATCAGAACTTTCATAATATCCATTGCTCCTATAAATAAGTAAACTGTTGGTAAAACACACACCTTTAGCCTTTCTCCTGATGGTGGTCAGGTCACGATCACTGCCACAGTCATGATGAAGAGACCAACAGCAATGGTGGGGGAAAGGCCCTTGCAGAATAAAGACACTCCTTCCTCATGATGATCCAAGTCTGCATGGAAATGCAATGACAGGCAAAAAGACGTTTTGGCTTATATCATTGAATACAGTCTCATATAGACGCATACAAAGTTCAGCTCTATTATTATTGTACATTTTTAAACAGCTTGTTATACATCCCCAGATTAGGAAGAAAGAAAGATAGAGAGAAGGAGGCATAAAATGTTTCAAAATAGGAAAATGCAAACATATGGCAATATTGTATCATCTAAACATCCTAAAGCAGAGATGGATTTGTTTTACCTGGGCGCTTGTAAATGTAGGTCTTTGTGCGCATGTTTATGAAACCTTCATTAGAATTGACCTCACGTTCACAGGTGAAGGAAGCAGGTGGACTCACGGTGACCATATACACACATGTTATTCTAGTACCTACAGAATTGCAATCGACTTTATCCTTGGTGTAGTTCAGTTCACTCTGCACAGACAGCTCAAAAGGCTTTATCCACCGACTGAATTCCCATTCAAACATTCGGTCAAACATGCACACCACTATGAGTCTATTTTTCTCTCTGTCTTCCATCTGTTGGTACATTGTGATGTCAAACACTGCCTTATCTGAAACACAACACATCAACATGTGAGTGAAATATGTTTCAAATTTCTGCTGCTCAAATGTTGCTTACAATTGCATGCATCTTCAACTATGCGCTGGCACTGGATATTTAAATAATATCTATTTATTAATGATATTATTTATGCTCATTTATGTCACCAGTCTAGCAAAAATAACTTGCATAATACTTACAAAACATCTTTTAATAATCAAGTATTGTGTCGTGTGCAAAATGAAGCCATGATGCAATGTCATTGTTTTGAGGAAAGTAATTAAAATACTTCCAGTGTATAGTTTACTAAAACAACAGAGTCACTAAAACACGGCAGTTGTAAGATTAGGGCTTTTTAAATACAATTTCAAGGACTTTTAATACAGTTACAGAATGGAGAAAACTAGAAAATTGGGATAAAATTAGATCATACCAGTATCCACAGAGTAATATTCTGGCTCGTCTTCGTATTCCTGGCTTTTCTCTGGATAAAACAAATAACAATAGTTTATTTTAATGTATGATTTATTACCTGTACATATTAAAGAGGGAGAAAGCAGTGTACTTACGTAAAGCGAACATTACAACCAGTAAAAGGACCTGAAAAGGAAGCTTCATCGTGCGTCAAACTATTGTGCTTTCTAACACACTACACTGCGTGTTTCTCTCAATTTCAACCCCTATCCTCGCTTTCTTTCCTCGCGTCTCAGCTCCACCCCTGTAGGATACGAGGGAAAGACGCAAAAAAGGAAAGAAAGAAAATAAAAGAACGGACGGAGGAATCGAATGAAAGCTTGATCAATCGAGCGTCACTTCACAGCGTCATCAGCTTCGCTCAAAAATTATGCTCAAAAGTTATTTAAGAAATGCATAATAAATAATAAGATGCCCTGTTGAAATATGTGAGATGTAAAATCCAAAAAATCGTCAATGCAAGTGAATGAGACAAAATAATTATTTTCTAATCCCGTTTGAATTTTGCAATGAATGTGTATGATGTCTGTGATTTTTTATATAATGTTTCGTGTAAAGAATGCTACAATTTAGCGGGTAGAATTTTCATACGGTTAGACTTTGTGTGAGAGCACTTTGTGGACCACAACTCTTTCGACGTGTTTGATGTAGGCTACATCACCCCCACTAGCACACGGATCCCGCTAAACATGCCTGTGTCTTTGGTGCACTTCACCGCCTTCTTTCAGGGAGAGGACATAGTTGAGCGTGGTGAAAACCGTGATTTGTGGACGGAAAATAATGTGTTATGCGGCGACGTCACATATGCGACGTGTAGTCTTTCTCGTTATGTCTATTCCACAACTGCTAGCCAAAGAATCATAAAATATACTGTCAAACTCGTTACATGAGAAATTATATAAAAAATTCACAGACAACATATGTTACATTCATGGCACAATTCAATCGGGATCAGAAAATAATTATTTTCTCTCATTCACTTGCATTGACGCTTTTTCAGCCTAGAGGTCCACTTGGAGTTTTACGGATGGGCGGGACTTACCAGCATAGCATATATTCAAATTATTGTTAAGTGCTATTCAAATGCCCAAAAATGAATATGAGGTTATTGGAGGGCTTAATAAAATATGACTAAATACTTAAAGTGAACACTGCATTATTATTATTAAAAAAAAATACATTAACAACAGCCTTTTAAAATCTGTCATCAATTCCTGTCAACTCTGTAAGGTATTTTTTTCAAATTCTAAATAAATCATGCCTATTTTGGTCAGCTTTAACCCTGAGGACACCCTTTAACTTCTTTCGGTTGATGGAAGCAGCAGAACCCGTGAATGTCACATGGACTACTTTGATGATGTCTTTATTTGTCTCCATTAGGCTACCTAAATTTATTCCAGTTAGTTGTGAAGGCATTTGTCATTCTCCTTTACATTTTTTCATTTAATATTTCTATTTTATTTTGTTTCACACAGATTATTAAGAAGTATAATCCCATATTGCACAAAAGTTGAGCTCATGAAGTAGCCATTATTATGTGTTTCCTGTGGGACAGCATTGATTAACTTTGCAAACACATTTTTTCCTCATTTAGTTATGTACATGCGCAGAACAGATTTGGGCTTGTTGTACCGAATGATGTGAACACTAATATTACTCAAGAATTTACTGTAGGATTTCTTAACCACCTTCTGTTAAGCTTTAGTTCACTGACATTTGGGATTCTCCTTTAGAATATTCTGATAATCTAAAAATACACACATATATTCTTTTGAATTAACATATTCTCTAGTAATTCATGCAAGTAATCCGTACAATCATAATATACGAAATATGTGTGTAAAATAACATAAAACTACTGCCCTCTGATGTAGAAAGAAATGAAAGCTACATCTGTAAATTAATCATTTATTGTTATATTAATTTATTTAGCAAGCATTTTTATCTAAATATACAAATAAAGAATGTTACAACGTACACATTTTATCCTAATGAGAAAATACAATTGTATCATCACAAAAACATTTTTTTAAAAATAGACACTTACTTTTTTTTGCCATATGCTACTGTTGGTTTGACTGCTTCTATTGCTCTTCTCATTTGTAAGTCACTTTGGAAAAAAAAAGTCTGCTAAATGATTAATTGTAAAATGTAAACGTGCAGTAGAAGTTGTTTTCTCCTCTTCAGGTCTGTTCTTCTCTCTTAAGAAAGTCTTCTGATTATTTATGCATCCATGTAGTCGTTGTCTGTAACAGTTGTGGGGTTGATGACGGAGTCTGTGTTAACAAACATGTAGAAAGAGTTCAATGGGTTAGTCTGTGTGTGCTGGGAAACCACTGGAGCTGAAGACTGATCAAATCTAATCCTGAACACACACTCAGGACACTAAACCTCATCAGATCATAATCACAACAAGGACAAATGTGATTATAACACGTACTTATGCCAGAGTTGTGTTCAAAAGCATTGCATGTCAGAATGCACCTCACATCAACAAGAAACACTTATTGCGCTCTGACTATAGGCCTGATGTGTGATGCCATTAGTCTATACAGTACACTTCAGCAATAAGATTGAGGAAGAGAAACTCTGTTCATTGACTTCTTCTTCAGCTCAGAAAACTAAAGCATGCATGTTAATCTTTATGCATTTCCTCTTTATTACTTTCTTAAGAAGCTCAAAGCATGCTCTCAGCACATTGTGTACATATTTTCAGTTTTAGACTTTTATCTGACTGTGGTCATCAGAATGTTCATGATATTCATTCCTGCTATAAATAAGTAAACTGTTGGTAAACACACACCTTTAGCCTTACTTCTAATGGTGGTCACGATCACAGCCACAGTCATGATGAAGAGACCAACAGCAATGAAGGAGGAAAAGCAGATGTAGAATAAAGACGCTCCTTCCTCATGATGATCCAAGTCTGCATGGAAATGCAATGATAGGCAAAAAGATGTATGCATTGAATACAGTCTCATATAGACGCATACAAAGTTCAGCTCTATTATTGTTGTATATTTTTAAATATTTAATTATACACCCCAAACAGCCCCGAAAGGTAGAGAGAAGGAGGCATATAAAAATGTTTCAAAATAGGAAAATACAAACACATGGCAATATTGTATATCATGTAGCAGGGATCTAAACATCCTAAAGCAGAAATGCATTTGTTTTACCTGAGCGCTTGTAAGTGTAGGTCTGGCTGCGCAGGTTTATGAAATCTCCATTAGAATAAAGCTCATGTTCACAGGTGAAGGAAGCAGGTGGACTCACAGTGACCATATACACACATGTTCGTCTATCTAGATAACTGCAATCGCCTGTTTCTATGGTGTAGTTCAGTTCACTCTCCACAGACAGCTCAAAAGACAGCATCCCCCAACTGAATCCCCATTTAAACATCTGGTCAAACGTGCACACCACTATGACTCTATCATGCTCTCTGTCTTCCATCTGTTGGTACACTGTGATGGTCGGCACTGTAACATCTGAAACAACACAAAAATGCTGGTAAAATATGAACATGTTACAAATTTCTGCAGCTCAAATTGTGTCTTGCGCATCTTCAACTTCTAATGCGCCGGCACTGGAAAATTTTGTAAAATAATGCGCTGGCACTAGATATTTAAATAACAGCTGGAGACATCATCAAACATTTGTTAATTTAAACACCAGTCTAGCAAAAATAACCGACATAATAATGTACAGAAATGACTTTAATTGTCAAGTACTATATGTATGTAATGTCTTTGTTTTGAGGAAAGTAATAATGTTGCAGTAATAATAAAGGAATATAATAATAAAAGAAAGTAAACATTAGTTTATCAAAAGACCTAAATGATGAAAAAACATTTACTTTAACTTGAAACATGTCAGTTGTAAGATTAGAGCTTTTTAAAATGTATTACAAGGACCTTTAATACACTCTAAAAAATGCTGGGTTGTTTTAACCCAACTTTGGGTAAAATATGGACAAACCCAGCCATTGGGTTACATTTTTAAATTACATTTTTAACCCAATGGCTGGGTTTGTCCATATTTTACCCAAAATTGGGTTAAAACAACCCATTATTTTTTTAGAGTGTACAGTTAGAGAATAGAGAAAAAAAAATTATCATACTTTCCAAAGATTCATCATCTATCCTGAATACATCTCCATCGTAATCTAGCCCGGACATATCTCCGTATAAGTCAACCTGGTACAACAAAGCCACATAAACACCTCATGAATAAAATTAAAAGCGATTTTCTATATTCCAAGTCTAAGCCAGGGCTAAGAGAAGTTTATATCTAAGTTAGACTGCACACAGAATAAACATCCAAACAAATTTCTGAACTGAATGAAAACCTCTGAAGTTGGTTCAGTAGTCGACTCAAATTCTGCTTTCTGGCTTTTCTCTGGATAAAACAAATAACAATAGTTTATTTTAATGTATGATTTATTACCTGTACACATTATGAAGTAAAATGCAGGAGAAAGCAGTGTACTTACGTAAAGCGAACATTACAACCAGCAAAAGGACCTGAAAAAGAAGCTTCATCGTGCGTCAAACTATTGTGCTTTTCTAACAAGAACTAGCTAGTTTCAGCTTCACATTTCTGTTCTTCTCCTTCACATTTCCTGTGTTAAAGAAGTTTCTTGTTATTGGCACAATTAGGGCACATGTAATATTCATTAACTTTACATTCAAATAAAGTCTCCTCCTTGATTCAAACTCACATCAATGAATTATCTGATTGTCAATGACAACTTTCCTGGTCATTCCACTGGTAAAGTACAACTCAAATCTTCATGTTTTCCCTTCTCAATCAGTCCGCTTCCTTCTCGAAACACACGTTATTATTACTTTACACTTTTTCATTACATATAATTTGCTGCAGGTATTTTACAGACCTGTTCCTCACAAATATATTGTAACCTCTCCTTAACATTTCTTATGAATAGTGAGATGACATTTTAAAGTTTCACAAATATCTGCACGATAACCACCAACGGTTTTAAACTTTCACAGTTTCACAGACAAGGCTTAAGTCTAGTCCCAGACTAAAATGCATATTTGAGCTTTTTAACTGAAAGCAACATGCACTAACATCTTAAAATATGTCAGTGCCATTGTTTTCTCTCAAGATGCACAGCAGTAATGATTTTTCTTAGGCAGGATTATAAAATCTGCTTAACGTCCTAATTAAACTAAGGCCTAATCCTGTCTTAATCTATTCTAAACCCTGTCTGTGGAACCAGGCTTTTGCGTCTAATCTGATAGCTTGGGTCTTAAGGTGAGACTCATCTCTTCACCACACCGGCGGGAACAGCAGATTCCGCCATAGTCGTTGCCTGGGTTACGGTCGCGTATGTAAGTGTGGGGTGGAGCTTTTAAATGAGGGGCAATATCCTATTGGGGTAGGGTGATCTCAAATAGGCCTATAAGCATTGGACGAAAGTGTTTTTCAAAAACTACTGATCCTACCTTTAAGGAAGGAAATATGTGTTTACCGATGAGCACTGAGAAGAATCTGTGAATGTGTTAATGCAAAAAAAAAATGAAAATGACAATAATTCAAGACAAGAAAACCAGGGTTCTCAGAAGAGTCGGGGGACATTAAAACGTTTACCTTGGGATAGTCCACTTTGAAATTAATTTTTGGGATGTTTTAGCTTACCTCAAGGGCATCCAAGATGTAGGTGTCTTTGTTTCCGCAGTAGTTTCAATTTTTGGTAACACTTTACAATAAGGTTCATTAGTTAACATTAGTAAATGCATTAACTAACATGAACTAACGATGAGCAATGCATTTGTTACAGAGTTTATTAATCTTTGTTAATGTTAGTTAATACCAATACAGCTGTTCATTGTGCGTTCATGTTAGTTCACAGTCCATTAACTAATATTAACTAATACAACCTTTGATTTTAATAACGTATTAGTAAATGTTGGAATTAATATTAATTAAGATTAATGTACTGAAGAAGTATTGTTCACATATTGTACATGTTAAATAATGTAGTTAACTAATGAACCTTATTTTAAAGTGTTACCCAATTTTTATATTTTTAGGTCAAACCGTTCTTGTCTGTCAGTCATATAATGCAGGTCTATGGTCACCACCTCAAAGAGCATGCACAGAGAAATCCAAATGAAACATGATTTAATGACTCGTAAATTTAAGAACACACTGATGGCCTAAGACACGAAACGAGCGGTTTGTGTGAGAAAACGAACAGTATTTATATCGTTTTTACCTCTTGTAGCCACAGCCACGTCCAAGTGATCTGAGGGCACGGGCGCTTCGGTCTGCGCAATCTCCGGAAGTGATTTCTCGCGCATGTACATCACACATTAAGACGGCTAATTAAAATGGTACTAATTTGCACTTATCCAGGATGTTTAAACCACCGTTAAAGAATACAATTACGTATGTTCGGGCGAACTCTTCTTCACTTCCAAAGAGATCACTTTCCGTGCTTGCACAGACCGAAGCGCCCGCGCCCTTGCCCTCAGATCGCTTGGATGTGGCTGTGGTTACGAGAGGTAAAAACGATATAAATACTGTTCGTTTTCTCACACAAACCGCTCGTTTCGTGTCTTAGGCCAACAATGTGTACTTACATTTGCGAGTCATTAAATCATGTTTCATTGGGACTTCTCTGTGCATGCTCTTTGAGGTGGTGACCATAGACCTGCATTATACGACTGACAGACAAGAACGGTTTGACCTAAAAATATCAAAATTGAAAATACTGACACCTACATCCCTACACCCTTGAGGTAAAACATACCAAAAATTCATTTCAAAGTGAACTATCCATTTAATGTCCTAAAAAGAAAATTTCTCGTCATAAACACTATTTACGGCATTTTAAAGGATGAGATGGGACCTATATGAGGTGATAATTAGTGAGTTTACTCCGAAATCAACCTAGGGTGCTTTGCACCATGACCTCGAGCCAAAGTTTTACGGTGTTGGAACAACATGAGGGTGAGTAATTACCGACAGTATTTTCATTTTTGGGGTGAACTATCCCTTTAACCTCTAGTCTGGTTGTGACCTGACAGAACAAAAGCCAAGTTTGGTTGCCCCCCTTTTTTTGAGGTAATCTGTGGCTTGGACCCTGGTGTGCACTGGTTAGCTCCCCGGCCAGAGACACCATATCCAGTCCATAGATCTATCCAAAACCTTTATTTTCCATGGGGCAAAGGCGGTAAAAGGGAGAGGCCAGTCAACCCAAAGACAGAGTTTGCAATGACCATACCGATGGACGTGCCTGTCGCACCTACCGACAGCATCTAGAACAGTCGCCTGATCCAGATCATTTATATTTAATAAAATAAAGTATACAGATTATCAATATTTATATGTAATGTTTTCTGAAATAATGTTTAAATAGTAGAAGAGAGGGAAGGAATACAAATAGTTTTGTATCAATACCAATACCACCATCTCTACTACCACTATCACAAACATCAAGAAATAGCAATAATATGCAGCTTTACATATATGAAAAGTGAAAAGTATAGCTTATAGAGCATAATAAATACACACACACACACACACACATATACACCGTATATACACATACATACACACACACAAACTCAATCCACAAATAAATGTACAATGATGTATTCAATACTACTCAGAACTTATTTATTATAGAAATAGTTTGTATTTATGCATATTGAACTTTATTATTAATCCATTTAATCAATTCCTCAGTCAGTGGTTATGAAGTTTGGATGTACAGGTTTGAAATGAACATTACATCACAATCAATGACCCAGTTTTGTGTCTGTCAAGTATTGATGTATACTTTGCCTATACATCAGAACCATTACATTTGTTAATAATGGACATACAGTATTTCTGTTACACTTCTACTGTATGTCAGGTCAGGTGTATTTGATGTTACATCACAGAACAGCAGCAGGTGGCGGGATAGTCCTCAGCGTTCACTTTCAACTCATTTCCATACACATAGTAAACATAGGGCTTCTCTTTCCAAGTGTAGTTCACCCTTGTTATGGTAATGAGCTCAATGGTCTGCCTCTGGAACAAGGAAATATTGAATTACTGAACCAGATTCAGGTTTCATCAGTATTGTGGATTCATGTTGACATATATATATATATATAATTTTATTAAAAACTAAATATTATAGTGCATGTAAACAAGACCAAGTCTACTGTCATAGACTGATAATTACATAGCAAAACTTTAGCATTATTCTTATTATGGAAATTCTTTTTATTTTTAAAATTGAGAATAAAACAACAGGTACCTGCTGTAATATGCGTGAGTTATTGGTATATTTCACCCGATGGTCCCTTATTATACGCTCAGATGCTTGTGCAACAGAAACATCAGGGAAACCCAGCACTGGAGAGACCTACAGTAAACATTCAACCACGTTTACCATCTTCTGCCACTTTTAAGTCTTTCTTTTATCTTTAACTTTCTGCATATCTGTTCCTACCATAATCTGGGCGTCTCTGAAGAGCTCCTTCCCTGAAACCTTCCCCAGCTTTTCCTGTTTTAGACCGCTCGAATCTTCCCCTACGTATTCATCCCTCTCAGTGCTCCTGAAATGATCCAACAGTATAGCTTTCAGAATGAGACAGTTCACTTTGAGTGTATAGGGTTAGTATACAGTGAATATATAATACCATTCGACTATGAGATTGATGAAGACGAGTAGCTGTCCGTTTCCATCACAGGTGTTACATATGTGGAAGCCGATGCCGCCACATGAACTACATCTGGAAGTTGCCAAACAAACACTCAGATAAAAGAATTAAACATGTTCAGGACATTAAGGGCTCGAATAAAATGTGATGAGAGTAAAAGATTGTTTGGTTGGTGCAAAAACTTTTTTTCTTTCTAACAGCAGCCATTCTGAGATGTGAACAAATGTCTCAGTTCTTTTGATTCTTATGAATTGGTCAAAAAGAGCAAGTCTTATGTTTAAATTTTTATATTCATATTTTGTTTTTTTTTTATTAAAAAAGACCAATTGATGTGTTCCTTTCTTAAAAGCTAGTACAGTTTACTACAGTAGATGGAGAATGGCAGACTTACCTTTCACGTCCACTACTGCCACATGCATAGCAGGCCCATCAGGACATTGGCCAGAACCGTTACACCAAGAGCACACTTTTCTGCATAGAGACACAAATAAAAGTGTCTCTAGATTTATGTCCCATTAAATGACCTTCTATAATAACCATGTACACCGAAAACAACTCCGTTAATAATAATAAGCCTGGTGTTAGCCAGTCAATTGTCACTTACGCTTCCACTTCCAATGCAAAAAACACAGGGAGTTTTTCCCATTCCACTGCATGGGTCACATTTCTAGAGTAAAAAAAAAAAAATAATTATTTTATTGTTTAAAAAAACAACAACAGATAAGTGAACTTAAAAATGCAATTTTCAGCTGAGTGTATTATCTTAGCCCTCCCTTTTGAATACAACTTTAAAATTACTTGACAAAAAATTACATTTTCTGGGGGTGAAACCCCATTGACTCCCAATCATTCTGCACTTGAACACGAGCGCCCCCGCATGGACAGAGACGTGTTACTGCAGCCAGTCCAGAAACCGGA